AGAAAGTCGCACTGACAAGGAGGTATACCGGGTTTCGGTTAAGCCGATGATGTTTTCAAGAGAGCATCCGGACCTTTTTTTTCTGCAAATGGAAGCACAGTTCAGGAATGCGGGAATAACGAAAGATGATACAATGTTTGATCATGTAGTAGCAAGTTTAGAGCCGAAATACCTGGAGTGCATAGTTGATGTGATTCGAGATCCACCGAAGGTGTTGAAATATGAGACGTTGAAGAAACGGTTAATATATGAATTCACAGAATCGGAGCACAAAAGGCTGCGTAAGTTGCTGACAGAATTGGAGCTAGGAGACATGAAACCAACTCAATTGCTGAAGAAAATGAAGGAAATGGCCGGCAATTCAATGAATGATGATGTACTAAAGTCATTGTGGTTACAGCGACTGCCAGTGGGAGTTAGAACAATCGTAGCTGCAGTGAAAGGTGATTCTGCACAGTGGGCCAAAGTGGCTGATAAGGTATTTGAGGTACAGGAAACAGAAACGGTTTGTGTAGTACAAAGGAATGAACCGAAGGAGATGAGGAAGGAAATTGACGAGTTGAAAGTCATGATAAATAATTTGGTCATTCAGTTGGGCAAAAGAGGAAGAAGCAATGACAGAGATCGTGGAAAAGGGCGGTCATCAAGTGCTAGAAGAGGTAATATCTGTTTTTATCATCGGCGGTTCAAGGAGAGGTCCACAAAATGTGTTCAGCCTTGCCAGTACAAACCACCGCAAAACTCAGCGGAAAACTAAACACCACTTCACGTCTGACGGCGAGTGAAGTGGCAGAGGGTAAAGCATGCCGTTTGTTCTTCAAAGATAAAAAAACAGGTATAAATTATCTAATAGACACAGACGCGGAAGTTTCAATTTTGCCAAAGAGAATGCAGCCTGAAAATGAAGCCACGCAATATTATTTATACGCAGCAAACGGAGCGAAAATTAGCACGTATGGAACGAAATTAGTGCAAGTCAATTTGGGGTTGCGCAGACAGTTCCTGTGGGAGTTCCTAGTGGCGAAGGTAAATCACCCAATAATAGGGGCGGATTTTTTGAATAATTTTGGTTTGATAGTTGACCTGAAGAACAGGAGAATTTTAGATGGCATTACAGGCCTCCAGGTAATGGGTTCGAAGAGAGAGATGCACTGCGTGAAGCTAAGCACAATTGATGCGACTAGCCCGGTACATAACATTCTGCGGGATTATAAAGAGATTACGGAACCGGCTACTAGTAATAAGGTGGCCACGAAGGTTACGCTAGTAGAGCATCAAATTGTTACCAAGGGACAGCCAGTGTATGCAAAACCTCGGCGGTTAAATCCTGAAAAATTTGAAATTGCGAGAAAGGAATTTGAATTTATGACGAAACAAGGTATTTGTAGACCAAGTAACAGCAATTGGGCAAGTCCGTTGCATTTAGTGGCGAAAAAGGATGGTAAGTGGAGACCGTGTGGTAAGTATAGGAAGCTTAATTCAATAACACTACCAGACCGGTATCCAATACCCCATATACATGATTTTACTCGCATATTGTACAATAAGAAAATTTTCTCAACCATTGACTTGGAAAAGGCCTACAATCAAATTCCGATTGCTGAGGAGGATCGACCTAAAACGGCGATAATAACCCCGTTCGGCTTATATGAGTTTAACATGATGACTTTTGGTTTATGCAATGCTGCGCAAACTTTCCAAAGGTTTATGAATGATGTCCTAAAGAATCTGAGTTATGTGGTAACGTACATAGATGATATATGTATAGCATCAGCTGATGAAAAGGAACACGAAATACATTTAAGAGAAGTGTTCAAACGATTAAGTGATCATGGTCTGAGAATCAATCTGGGAAAGTGTGTGTTTTTTATGAAAGAAGTTACCTTCCTGGGTCATGTGATAAATGGGGATGGAATTAGACCTATAGCTGAAAAGGTAGAAGCGATAAGAAATTTTAAAAAACCGAAGGAAGTACGAGAGTTAAGAAGGTTTATTGCTTCAATTAATTTTTACAGGCGTTTCCTC